CCTTTACCATTACTTGCTTCCTTCCTTCATTCCTTTTTCCATTTCTTTCCTTCCATTTCTTCGAATTCTTTAGAGTCATTTTTCCATATTCTTTATTCTTTCCTTTTTCCTTTCTATTCAATCGTTAATTTATTTTCATGTTCAACTCCTGTATTTCATTAGATCAAATAATAGGAGAATTAACCCTACTTTCATTAGGAAGTGTACCGAATTGTTTGCAAAGCTTTAATCCTGTTTAAATTGTATATTGGAAAATTTATTTAAACGCTCTGGCTCCTTCGCGACCGTAAAAGCCTTTTACTACAACCAAAAATGAAAGCAGATACTCGATTCTCCATACTTCGTCACAAAGAACCGACGACCAATTTGCAGGGATTTATACCGAATTTCATTTTATTTCTTTCATCTTTTTTCTCCGATTTATAATTGGATCTTTTATCTTCATAATTGAATATTTAATAACTAATAGAAATTAGTACTTAAATTGAGTAGCATGTTCGTGTATGAGCGTTTATAGTAATCAACGATCCGCGAATTTCGACCCTGTGGAAAAATTAATTTTACTTCCATAATATCAAAAAGAGAAAGTACAGTATAAAATAGTTAAAAAGAAAGAAACTTTGTACGAAAGAATAATACTTATATTCGACGGATTAGGAAAAGTTGACACAGTTGTTATAATTAATACATGTAGAAATGACAGCAATTTATATGTTTACTACGCGACAGTGAATATTTGCGACGCCAGGTGGGATTAAAAAATATCTCGAATTTTTCACTTAAAAATCTCCTTAAACATACATTAAAGGACTCCTCGAGCTGCGCAAACATTTAAAATATTAGTTTTCAGATCTTAAAACTAATCTTAGTAAGTTGAATTGGTGATTTTTCCCATACAAGTGCCGCGTCACGTAAGACCTCATTCATGTCACGAAGTCACGCCGTCATTATTATTGTTCGTATAACTTTTTATGTTTTAGCGAGTTTTTATGGTACATAACTTACCCTAAACAGCCGCCAAACATGACAAACTCGTCTGGTCCTGTCATAGCAGAAGAGTGCAAGCATCTTGCATGTGGATAGCTGGGATTGTAGCTGTTCGTTCCTTCAAATTTCGTTTCCCATTTCTCGCTCTTCAAGTCAAATCTGAGTGTATTGGAGTAGCGAATCGATGCAAAACCATGAGTAACGTACAGCCCGTCACCCGAGGGATGGATCCCTCCACCGCTACCGTATCTTTTTTCAGGTTTCAAGCTACTCTTGGGTTCTATCTTTTGCCATGTTTGAGAATTCATATCGAATTTTAAGACATCATCGTAGAAAACGTTCTTTCCTCCACCACTAGATTCACCTGTAGTAATGTAGAAGGAGTTACCTTTAGCGCCAAAAACCATACTGAATCTTGGCTCAGGGATCGACTTTCCATCACTCAGGACCGTCTCGTTAACCTTAGACCAGTTCTTGGACGATAAATGGAACAGCCAAGTATCTCCGAGAGTCGATCCMCCCCTCCCTCCGAAGATTACTACTCTGTTAGAGATTGCATCGAAGCCTATAGAAGAATCACTCCGAGCACTTGGGGCCAGCGAATTCGGCTTCAGTTCTACCCATCTTAGCTGAGAACAAGCCCCTTGTACGAAATAAAGAATAAGAAAACTATAAAGRAAATACATCGTTCCGGATTCCTTAATGCATCAAAAGCTCTAACAGTAACAAAGAGTTTTGCTGTGTATTTATGTATTATTTTAGTTACGTAGAATACACGTCACACTGTTGAATAGTAATGTGTCAATGAAATGAAACTGAAATATTAACCCTTTAAGCTGTTTGTCCAAGATTATTTACTACATAGCCGATTAAAACTTAAGTGAATTAAATGTTACTTAAAGGTAACTGAAAATACTCGAAAAATAGCTTAACTATTCTGAAATTTTGTAGTTTTTAAAAGAGATTAACTTTATATCGCCATTGTTTTTGAAAAGAATTGTATATTGAGTGCCAAAATATATTTACAAATTTGCTGCGTAATCGACTCTTACGTGACAAGTTCATTGAATAGAACGCCTGAGTCAATATCGTATCTATACAGCGATTCATATTAACATTTCATGTTTCATGTTAATATAATTTAAATACAAACAGTATAATWTGTATTTAAAAGATAGAGAATGGCAACAATTGATTACACAGCAGTAAAACATGAGTTCATATTTGATAAATTTTGTTTACTTAGGAGAAGAATAGGTTTTATGGGAAGTTAAAATTGTTTTTAGTAGGTTTTTGTTGTTTAGTAATAGCGTGATGTTGCCGTGTGTGCGTATGCCCTTCGTATGTATGACTAAGCATAGTT